GCGATTTCAAGTGAAGCCCAACAACTGTCACAGCAGTACAACATATTTGTGTCACCTTTGCTTGGACTTGATAACTTATGAAAGCCCGATCAAAGCGATCAATATGTACATAGTAAAATTAAAATACCACATTTGCTACAAAAGCAACCGAAGCAGCAGCAGCAGCAATAATTTAGTGGCAGCAACCTAAATGCGAATTGGAGTGAATTGAATTGGAATGTCATTGTGTGTGCATATGTGCATTTGTATGATCATAGAGTTGATCAGCGCTGCCACCAACGATCGTTTTACATGATCGATTTTGCTGTGACAGTGCGACATGAAGCATTTGTTGTTTATTCATTTGTATGTAGGTTATAATGGCAAATCGAAATTGTTACTGTGTTACTGCCTGCTGTTGCTGCTCACATTGTGGCAGTGGCGGCTGACAACTTTCAGTTCGCATCAACATACAACTTTCATACAACAATTGCACTTCAATGTGCTGCGATCTACACAAAGTTTTTGTGATTTTCTGTGATTTATTTTATTGACTTCTTTTCAATTTATTGTTTGCTAAATTTGCGTCAAGTTGAATTAGCAAATTTCTCATTTGAATAATTCACAAATCAGCAAAAAATAGATTTGAATACTTTGTGCTGTTTATATCTTTTATTTTTGCTAAATTGTTGTCATTATATAAGCAGCTGTGATCTCGCTAAACCCGTAAATTTGCTACCAGCAAAAATAAACATGACAAAAGTTGACAATAAAAAGCTTTTGAAAGACCCAACAAATGGTTAAGTTCATTGCTAAAACTACTTATTATTCTTAATTATTCGTGAAGCGTTCTTGTTGTTTTTATACGATAAAAATCAGGCTCACACCCCTAAATTATAATATATTAGGTCATGTAAAAAGTTCGTTCGGTTTTTATCTAAGAGATGGCGTTATTGTCCATAGTACTAGTGTTACGTGTCGCATCATGTCATACTATACGGCGCTGAAAACGTGTTTATTCGCGCTAAAAGTTTGTCTTTGACAGATTTTCGATTGATTGACTCAGTACGTGGTGAGCGCTCGTCAAAGATGGACACCAGAAAAGAGAAAATTCGCTAATTTAGTTTATGGGCCCGATACTGTAAACGAACGTGTAGCACAAAAGTGGTTTGCTAGGTTCCGTTCCGGTAATTTCGATGTCAAAGATGCAGACACGTTTTTGGTGACACGCCAGAAGCTCCGGGAGCTCGGATGGGAGGTCCTAATGCAGCCACCTTATAGTCCGGACCTGGCACCAAGTGATTACCATCTTTCCCTGTCCATGGCGAACGCGCTTAATGGTAAGAAGTTGGCCTCAAGAGAGGCCTATGAAAATTGGCTCTCCGAGTTTTTTGCCAATAGGGACGCAGCCTTCTACGAGAGGGGTATAATGTAGTTGGCATCTCGTTGACAACAAGTTTACAAACAAAACGGCGCATCTTAAATCGGACCAATGTAGACAAAGTTATCATCTTTTGAAAATCAATAAAAAACCGAACGAACTTTTTACTTGAAAAATATATATATACAATTCATTTTTATACTCTGAACAGGATATATTAAGTCTGCCACGAAGTTTGTAACACCCAGAAGGAAACGTCGTAGACCCTATTAAATATATACATAAATGATCAGCATGATGAGCTGAGTTGATTTAGATATTTCCGTCTGCCTGCCGAAATTTGGCATGGATTATTATTTGAGGCAACAATGTAATATCCGAAGAAGTTATTCAGATCGGATGGCTATAGCATATAGCTGCCATACCAACTGAACAATCGGAATGAAGTGCTTGTATGGAAAACTCTTTCATTTGACGAGGTAGGCACGAGTTATTGCTTAAGGCAACAAATTATTCTCCACAGAAATTGGTCAGATCAAATCACTATATCATATAGCTGCCACACAAATTGAACGTTCGGAATCAAGTTCTTGTAAGGGGCCTCTGTATTTGTGAAGGGTATTATAGCTTCGGCGCAACCGAAGTTAACGTTTTTTCTTGTTTAATAGTACTTAATTGCAATGACTCTGAGATGGATCCTGACGGAATGAGTAGTCCTCCTTAAAGCCGACAATTTTTTGTACGACAAAGGCTAAAGCGAAACGATGTAAATAATTTTCTGGATTGTTCCGTGTAGTAATAAGATCAAAAAATTATAATAAAATACATAATTAACTTTAACAAAGTTTTCCCACTCATGACCTTGATTTTGAACAGTTAGTTTGAATGGCAGTTATATGCTCTAGTAGTCCGATCTGAACAATGAATTGGAAAACAATCCCAGCCAAATTTCGTGAAGATATCTTGTCACATAAAAAAAAATGCCATACAAGAACTTGTTTTCTATCGCTCGGCTATATGCTATATCGGATAGTTCCGACAAATAAGCAGGTCCTTGAGAAAAAAGAACGCGTGCAAAATTTGAGATCAATGTCTCTAAAACTTTGCGGATATATAGACAGATGTGGCTTAATCGAACCAGCTTGTCGCGCTGTTCATTTATGTATATATTTTATGGGGTCTCCGACGTTTCCTTCTGGGTGACAAACTTAATATACCATGTTCAAGGTATAATATTTTAAAAATTTTTAAGATGAAGTAACAGCTCTAGCTAAGAATATTGAAGAGAAATATTTAAAGATTTTAGTGAGATCGCCATTTCTTTAAATTTTTTATTCAATTTAATAGGTAAAAATAATATTTTTCGGAATTATTGTTTAGAAGACCCGATATAATATTATAGATACATTAAAAACAATTTTTAATAAAAAATAATATAAATTTTGTAAAGAGCGATGAGATTACCAGCTCATCCGATGTCTTCATATTCATGGTTAAAAAAATCTCTTTATTGAAAACAATATTTGAGACACATACTAAAAGAAGATTCATTTCTGCAGCGGAAAGTGTCAAGCATACAACCTTAAATAATTAAGTACATTAGTGGGCAACAAACAAGTATTAGTGGGCAACAAACAGGACCTTTTCAGATTAGCTCACCCAGCCTCATTTCCTTGTCCTACAAGACGTATGAGCATTATTTGAAAGCATATTTTTATAGGTTATGGAAATTGTAAATTAACTTTAAATTCTTTATTGTATTACTTTAGTATTATTCTTTACAGAAATACTGTTGCTTAATTTTTTCGAATACTATACTTTGTACATTCCCAATATTTCTCACAGTTATACAAGTATATCCACTACGTTTTACAAAATGCAGCCTACTTTTCTGCGCGAACTAAGGATTAACTAGAACAACGCCGAAATATTTATAAATTGTGATACCGTGGCACGTAATAAATATCTAAACATTTAATTTTGAACTTCAAAAATGGTTAACCCATCGTAGTCTTGAAAAATAAACTTCGTTTTCAAACTAAGGCACAAAATGTTTGATTCGCTGTATTAATAAAATTTGTCGTAATAAAAATGTATAGAAAAGAAAAAAATAATATATAAATATTAGTGGAAATTAACAAAAATATATAATATATGGATATAGTATTACACTTTGTTGATATAATTTTTCATTTGTTTTTCTAATATTGTACATATACCCACGATATTTGTAACAGTTATAAAGCCACTTTATTTGGCAAAAGACCATTTCACGATGAAGTGATGACTAACTGAAATGGAGCCGAAATATTTCCAATATATTAATCTTTAATTTTAAGCCATAAAATAATGTATAACTCACCGTCATTCTAAAAAATATATTCGATTTAAAACCAAGGCGAAAAAATGTTTTGATTGGATGTAGCAACAAACTTTGTAGCAATAAAAGTGTTAACTAAAACCACATACGTATATTAGTGGAAATTAACACAATATGCTGATTACAAATGTTTTTAAGAAATTAATCGGTCTCAATCCAACCTTGTAAAGATTAGCAGATTATTGACAATATTTATTGTAGTAAAGAGTGCTTAAGTTATTTATGTTCGTTATAAGAAGATAGCTAACTATGCATAGCTCCAGCACACATAAATAACAAAAAGCATGAGTCAACAGATGAAAAAAAGCAAGCTTATAAATTCATAAATCTTAAACACGAATTTTCGATAACTGGTTTACTTAATCTTTCGTATAATATATAATGAAAATTAATAAGATATCTTGAAATATAATATTTTTTAGTATCGGATTATTTTGCACAAGAAAAGGATTTGATTTTTTAAAACTTTTCTCAATGTCTAAAAATATAAAGAACATTCGACCAAACTTTTATCATTCGTAGCACTATCCCATATATATTATAACATATTATGATATGTACGAGAGCATCGAATTAAGTAGAATATAAACTAAGCCTTATATAAAACTACATCTTAATAGAATTCAGTTATTCATTACAAAAAAAAAAAAAAAAAGATAATGATACTTTTATTTTATATTAGAAATATATTAAAACGATTTTTTTTATCATTTATTTATCTCAAAGAACCGCGTTACTTTTTTCAATACAGATACAAAATCTTCATATTCCCGTGCAACACCCTGTTTTAGTAAGAACATTCTTTAGTATAATAAAGGGCACAAGCATGAACCAATTAAAGCGGCAATCAACAATCCGCTCGAGGTCAAACGTTCAAATAATTAAAGATTGCGCCAATTGAGAAACTTCAAGCAGCAAAAGCATCTCTGATAGTTACAAAATTTTAACATTTTCTTAAGAACCACTTAATAATACTACGTACGTATGATGGAGATTTAAAAGTAACGAAGAGAGAGAGACTGAGTAACGGCAAACACCTCACTGAACTGGCCAAGAGAGTGAGCTGAAGAGCAACACAGCATGTTGGTTGAGTAATTGAGTAAGCCAGGCTTAAGTCACAACGCTCGCCCTTTATAGATCTACAAGGCATGACGTCACTGAGAGAGAGTTACAAAAGAGCTAAGTAAATCTAGGCGTGTACAACTTACAACTAAGCGAAAAATTGTTATAAAAAGATGTAGTAAAAATAATACACACAACTTTTTATAAGTAAACATTTTATTTTTTATTGTAAACTATTTGTATGTAGGACTTGAAGAACACAAGGCACTTTTTTACAGACCAAAAATTAATTATATAATAATTAGTTACAATGATAGCGGGCTTAAAGCTACATATTTCGAGTTATTCATGCGCACAGCTTAGTGTCACCTTACTCAGCAACGCCAAAATCTGGCCAAAACTAATGAGCCAACAATGACAGCTAACCATGGTCTCAAGCTACCCGCTGCATTGCAGCCATCTGTGTCGCAGGTAAAGATGCAGGAGCGATAATCCATGCGATCACCTTTGTTCTTCACATAATCACAGTAATTGCCCAAATCCTTGGAAGAGCAGAAGCGTTTCGCACCTATGCCACCCTCGTAACGCCCAATGTGCTTAATGCAATACTTCGCTTCATGGACATTGGAACAGTTCTGGGGCTGAATATCGGGATCATCGAAGCGTTCGAACCATTCGCCACACTGGAAGGGTGTTTTTGTGTCAGAGGCATCGCAGACGTAACAATTTATAGCCAACGTTGTACCACTCAACGCGACGCTGATTAGTAGAATTTGCAGCACGATTTTAATTGAACACATTTTGTTTATTTTGTTTCAGTTTATGAATTTTATAGCACCAGCGCGTAAAGAAAGCAAAGGTCAACAGCAGCACAAATAAAAAGTTTCCAGCAATTAACTATGCACTTAACAACAATAAATAGTAAAAATTTATTACGAAGCTTTGGAATAAACAAAACAGCACAGCTTGGCTCAGCTCACAAAGCAACACACACAACTCGCGTAAATAGATGGACGCAATGGGCACGGCGTTGACCGTATAAAACGTCAATAGCAAACCTCAAAACGTCAAAAGTAAATGGAAACACAAAGTAAAACAGACAAATGTCAATTGGAAACTGACGTTTCTGGCCGTTTGCTTTTCACCTACATTCACATGCTGGCCAACCAAACATGCAACTCCCGGCTGAACTCGGTCTCCCTCAGCACGACTTAACTTCACTTTATTTGGTTGTAGATTGGCATTTTTGTATGTGTACATCACACTTGACTTTACTCTCTTGCCAAACACATGCATGTGGGTCAATGTAAAAACCTGGCTCTCACTCTGGCCTTTGCTATCACCACAAAACCACTCATCGCTTGCGAACTTTGTTCGGAGCGGCTTAGCGGTTTATACGAGTGCAGTTTGCTGTCATTTGTGTATACGATAGGCAGCTAGAAACTGGCATGCGTTCGCTCTCCCTTGCTAACTTCTAGTGTTTAGCATTGAAAAAGTTAGCTGGTCTAGCTGCACTAAAAACGGTGTCCATAACCAGTGTTGTCGCGGATGCGCAATATAAACGATTTTCATTTAAAATCTGCTTTACTATTTCATCTGTTTCGAGAAAATATTATGTTTTAGTGATTCCTTAACATAAAGCCATTAATCCCGAAATATATGCTATCGAAATCTTTCGTCCAATTAGTGAGTACTAGTGAGGCCTTAGTAGCTTTTATGTTTTGCTTAGCCCGCGAGCTTAAGCCTTAGTGTCTATGCTTTGTAAGTACAGTATTAACTTTTGCACGCGGATTCTAATGTATCTTCAAAACTTTTATAGAATTTTTGTTGCAGAATGTTTTAAACTGATTTGTTTTGAAAGCGTATTGATGCCATTGTTACCATCAAAATAAGTCGAGTTTCGGTTTGCACATGTTAAGAAGTATAGTTCCGATCATAGTACCATTGTTGCTCAATATCGGTACCCCATCTTCTTCTTTTTTGCTTTTTGCCTTATGTTTCATCATTCCAACTTTCATACTATATATTAGGATTCGCTTGACGAAGGACTTATTAAGGGTTAATTTAATTAATCGACCGATTTCTTAAACCAACACTCTCATTTCAGTTTATAACAGTTTTTACGTTGGACTTCAAGGCTGTCATTCGCAAAAACGCTGTTGTTGAGATATATGTACGTCATGCCTGTGGCAACAAAAATTAAGACAAATCGGTGATTTAGGATTTTAACTTAAGTTATAGAACTGGATATAATCGATCAATAAGTTATTGTCTGTATTTTCTATTTAAAAGCTTCTTTAAACGCTAGAGTCAATTTGAGCTATATGGTAACCCTCATTGCAACAACTAAGAATCAACGGCAAGCTGAAGAAACGTTCACATACCTTATATGTCATCATTTCTAATATGCACACGGTCATCTTAATTGTAATTGGCTTTACATTGGCAAAAACTTCGTTAAAACATTGAAGACCAAGATATCACCATAGTAAGATAATTCAAGTGCGCCACTATAGATATATGCTTAAAGCAACATTAAAATTGGGTTTGTTGTACAGCTTCTTTTTTTTTTTTTAATTTTGCATCTATACATATAATATATTTCATTAAAAAATAGCACTTTTTGATTGTGTCTCATCCAAAATTATTAATAAAATAAAACTTCGAAAAACAATCCATAATGAGACAAATAAAAACATAAGGACTAAGGCTCCCTCCTTTTCATATCCCAATCTCTTCTGTTAAAAACTCTTTTGATCAGAAAAGAGCTTCTTGCTTAGCTAACTTGAAAATAAGTACATAAAACATATGTCGAGGTGAGAAAGTGAAGACCTCGACATTCCTAATGTAACCAAACCACAGGCAAGTACAAGAGTAAGAATTGATAATATATGTATTTATGATATGTATATCTTGCAATCGGCTTTTAATACACTTTCAAAGAAAAGGCAAATTAATTTTCAACATAACTTAAACAACATATACTTATCAAGTTCTTACGATAAAATATTATACTAAGGTACAAGTACACTAAGTATCATACCCTAAACTACCGTCTTCCCCTGTTAATAAGTCTGAGATTTTTACTCGGTCAAGAACTGGTACTCGATGGAATTCTATTTAAAAGTTCTATTCCAACAGGATGGTTTGGAAGTGAACGTCGTCGTTTTTATTGAATGCAGTAATGTATCATGTAAGTTAGGGGATCTCATCTCTAAACCCCTAAAAGAATGTCTGTCATAAAAATTCCTTTAACAAAGTAGATTTTATTTCCTTACAGCAGAAAATCCAGCGTTTTCAGTTTTAACGCCTCATCTATAGTGAGTTCCCGTGAGTACTAGAAAAAAGTATGGGTTATGTTCCCTATATTCGCTTACTGCGAATAATAACTAAATTCTGTAATACCCTTATACAATATTTCTACGGATTCTATCAGACTATCAAGCACTTTTTTTGTGAGGAAAGTGTATTACTGAATTTGGTTTTGGTCTAGCATGAAAGTGATATTAGTTAGCCTAAAAATTTGCTTTTTCAATACTTCTATACAAACAAATTTCTATTTACAAATCGAAAATTTTATGAATATACATATATATGTACAAGGTGTCTTCCAAAGTAAACAGGACTTAAAAAAAAAAAAGACAGAACAAATGGTTTTATCGGCAAAATCAATTAATTTTATTCAAAATAGTCTCCTTCTGATTTAATACAGCTTTTTGCACGGTTCAAAAGCATGTCGAACGAGTGTTTTAGCTCATTGCCCGGTATGGCCGCCGGTATGCCGGTGCAAGCCTTTTGAATGGCCTCCACGTCTGCATAACGCTTTCCTTTCATCGGCAAATGCATTTTTCCGAAAAGGTAGAAGTCGCACGGTGCCATATCAGGTGAATACGGGGAGTGGTTGATTGTTAAAATGTGATTTTTGGTCAAATAATAGGCCACAAGCGTCGATCGATGAGACGGCGCTTTATCGTGCAACAAACGCCAACTTCCATCTTCGCGATATTCGGGCCGAACATGTCGAATACGGCGCACCAAACGCTTCAAAACTCCAAGGTAGAATACCGCGTTAACGTTTTGGCCGGGTGGAACAAATTCTTTATGGACAATACCCTTGGAATCATAAAAACAAATCAGCATTGTTTTCGCTTTTGACTTCTCCAGGTCCGATTTTTGGGTTTCGGCTCATTTCTCATTTATGTCCTCACGACCACTTTGAAAACGTTGAAACCACTCGTGTACCCTGCTACAGGATAGGCAATCATCGCCATAAACTTGTTTCATTAATTGAAACGTTTTGGTAAAAGTTTAAAACAAAATTTAATGTTGGCTCTTTGTTCGAAGCTCATTTTCGCACCGATGACAAAAACCTACTGACACTTAAAACGCATTAACTTCACTTCCAATAGATGAAATGTATGAAATTTTTACTGGAAGTCGATAAAGGATAGCTGATTCTAACGCACTAGTCGACATAAAAATGGCGCCACTAGAGTTTACTTTGTTACTTTTTTACTGTTTACTTTGGAACGCACCTTGTATTGGCTGCGAAAGGAATTTGGAAACACATGACCATATGAATTAAAAAAAATAAATAAAAATAAAACAGTAGCCAAAGCTATTGTTTACTATTTCAATACTCGCCTTATAACCTGAAATGACCAACAAACTCAATAGAATCAAACAGCCAACTACTGTTTGCTAGTGGCTATAGTTATTTCTTCAATATACCCAAAGAAAACAAATTTAAACAAACTCTTTGTACTTGTATGTACACATAACGTAAGAATACAGACAAAATTTGAGCGGGTTGTATGTATTTACCGGCAGAACAACTGCTTCTCCCAATGTTGGCAATATTTGGCAACTTGTTGCTGCCACATGTAAGCAGCAGGCTTTTGGGACCTGTTGTACTTAAATGGTTTTGTCGAACAACCATGAACATATATTAATACAACTATATAGCATAAATGTACTCATATATGCATTGAAGACTTTGCACCTTTTTCTACGTGTTGGTTTTGGCCCAAGGCATAAGAACGAGTATAGAGAAAAATAAGGGAAAGACTTGCAACCGGTAAAACTACCTTTGCACCTCTTTTCTTTTCTAATGCTATTATTTCTACTATTTTATTTATTTTCCAAACTACTCTAGCTACGTGACTGCAATGACATTGTTGGCAAACGAAGCCAGAATCAAATAACAGACCTAACTCGATGCAAGACAACTGTTGAATGTTAATGCTTTTTGATAACTTCAACCAGCATAAAGATTCCTTAGTTTTTTATATTGGTATTTATCGATTGCGTTTCTGTTTTGGTCGCCTATTTATTACAACACATTTTTTGGAGCGAAACAGACCAAATCAATGGATCTTCTTAATGCACGACTGGTTTTGTTTTGATATTGTATTTCTTGTAAAATGCAAGACACCATTAAACTGTATGTATCATTTTAAAATACCAGCAGTTTTGTGTTGCAATGTTGGCTTTGACGACTGAAAATAGTAAAACATTTGCTCTTTATTGTAAAATAAGTGCTAAATCTTTAGTTTTAATGTATATAGGTATGTATGTCTACACTAGTCTTTGCAACATTACACTGAGAGAAAAGTAAAGTTACAATTTTCAAAAGCACGATTTTTAGTCACTGTAAATTCGGAAATAATATTTAATTTCAGGGTTGCTTCGTATCTCAACTCGCTTTTAACATGCTCTTGCATAGCAAAAATAATTTTCCATAAAAAAAATTCCTTTAGACTCGGTTATCTTCGATGCGCCATTTTTTGCTAGCTATATTTGGGTACTGTTCTCAAAAAATTTACATGTAAAAGTAACAGCAAAGATATCAAGTTGTAATGCTACAAGAGAGCACCTCATTACTGTTGTATAACCGCTATCTTCAATGATACCAAGTTTTGTTTTATGCATTTCAGAAAAATTTTAACTATGTGAAGGGCTCAATAGACAAATTACTCTCAAAAATTAAAATACCAATATTTAATGTAGATTTTGAAAACTTAAGGCTTAAAATCAATTATAGTTGTTTATAATAAACGTAAGGCTCAAGATCATTAAAATGTTTTTTTGCCCCGAAAATCAGAATTTATAGATGAATGAAATAAGCGCAACTCACTTGGGCATGCGTCAGAGAACCTGTTAACGCAGGGTTGTATCGCAAGTGCTGCCAGTTTGTTTGAACAACTGGTATAATTCCCTACTCTCTAACGTTGGGCGAATCGAAGACAACTAATGTAAACAATAATAAATATGTCGAAATATATATAAATTTATTATTAAGATTATAATTACAATAACTATGAGCCCGATACATAGATAAAACTGAACCGATCAAGATACAAGTATAATGAAATAACAGAACGTTTACACTATTTTTTTTTATAATTTTATACATTTTTCTTCAGTTTAGTCAAGCAATTTTCAATCACACGGCCACATTAAAGCATACAGGGCCCTTCAATTTTCTAGCCATCGAGATATAATTATATACAATATTATTAATTTTACTTCCCAATGCAACATTTTATTTAAAGAATTTTTAATATTATTATTTTTTTTAATTTTATGAAACGTTTTGTGAACTTTAGGAACACCCTTATATGAGATGTCTGAGCAAAAAGTTGCGATGGTGCAAAAAATTCAAAGTTACAAACCGCAAAGACTGATTAAAGGACTATATAGAAAGCAGGGTGCGGTAAGTCAACGATTTTTCTTATATTTTCAACTATGACATAGATATTTCTAAGCGAACCTCTCGAAAAGTAATGCACAACCCTACAAATAAAAGATTTACTTTCATATTTTAGTTCCACAAATTTCTTGTAGTACAAAATATGAGAGACAGTTCCGTTAGATTGAATGTTCAGAAGTGTTACACTTTTTCAGTGGCGCACGGAATGTAACTAAGAGAAATTTTCGATGACTTTTTCCGTCAACCACTACGTCTGAAAAATAAAAATGAATAAAAGACCGTTTAGAATCTCTTAAAATTGTATTTTAATTATTTGTGTTTTAGGATGTGGAGCTTTGTACTTTTTGCGTTTAAATTTATTTTTTTATATCGATTTTTTGATTGCAGTTCTAGTCTTTACTAAATTAAACATTATAAAGCTTAGACAAATATACCCCATCTAAACTTAATATTAGAACCCAATATAAATGAAAAATATAATATTGAAATCAGAAAAAACAATACAAGTAAATCATTTTCACTATACAACGTAGACTAGTCCTGTTCCATACATTTGCAAGCTTGATCATAAAAATTGTGTGAAAAAAAGCTTACGGAATTTAGATATCTAAACTTGAACATAGTATGGAACGACAAAATGGCTTAAATGCTTTTGGTGATCTAATCGGTCTCATGTGTTGCTGGTGAGTGACTAGAATTTCCAAAAATGTATTCATACTTAGAAACCATGTTCTTAGGGCTAGATATATATTAGGGTGGAGCGAAAAAATTTTATTTTTTTGCCTTAACCTCTGGGTAAATTCTGCAGATTTTAAAATAAGAAAATTGTTGGACAAATAAAAACTTTTTTAACACCTAGAGAAAGTTTTAAAGTAAATTTTCGAGTTAAAATTTTTATTTCTTAAACAATTTCTGATAAGTGTTCAATTAAAATTTATCAACTTAAAAAATTTTTTTGTGGTCATTATTGGAGTTTTAAAAAAAGTCTTAAATGACCACATGCTTTCCTTAAGCGTTAAAATAAATTTTCAGTCAAAAATCGTCATATTCAGTATATTTTATATAAACGTGAAGAGTTTAAACCAAAAATTAATCTTTTTTGTCCAAAAGAAATTTAACTCGAAATTTACTTTAAAACTGAGTGCGCAGCCCCGCCCCTAGGTGTTAAAAAAAATTTTGTTTTGTCCAAAAATTTTCTTTTTTTATAATCTACAAATTTTACCCTCAGGCTAAGCAAAAAAACCAAATTTTTCTTCGCTCCATCCTAATATTTATTATATTTGTTTAACATCACGGGGGTCTCTAAAATCGTATACCTTAAGGTATTCACCAAAAAGTTTACTAAAATGATTTATTTTAAAATAACTTTTCTTTCACTGATCATCGCATGAAAGCTGCTAGCAGATTTTTTCCATAGACTGAATGCAATCTGCTTTGCCCACATCTTTACACGGGCACTGTTCCAGACAGATCGTGCTCTTGAGTTCAATAAACTATCCGAAAGTAGAATAAGTACAAGTTTTCTCGATTCGATTTTTATAAGCATACAATCCGGTACATATTTATATATACACATATGTATGTACGTATGTCTGTGCGAGTATTTACAAACAAGAAACTCATGCTTCTTGCGTGTAAATACTATACATACATATAGTATGTACCTATATGTTTATCATATATATACCGCAAAAGCGCTGACATTCGTTGTCACTTGTGCGCGTGCAGCATCCATCGTTCATAAGGATTTTTCTAAGAAATGACTTGCAACTTGAGAGTTTGGCGGGTGTCTGCAATTGCCGACGTGTTGTTGTTGATACGTTGATGATGCTGTTGCTACTTTTGCTGCAATTGACCGTGGGTTTTTCCTGTTTTCCACTCAATCGCTTTTCGTTTTTATTTTCATCCTCAACTGTGTGTGCTTTCGTGTGTGTAAGCTTATGTATGGTATTGCTTCGTTGCTCACTTTTTATATAAATTGAAGATTCTGAATGCCACGCCACTGTTCGCTGAGTTATCAATTTGAGTGCATATTTCATATAATTGCTTTTATTATCCAATATATAAGATATTATTATTTTGTTGATGTGAAGAAGAACTTCAAATGCAGCTGGACACACTTGCCGACAAATACAGCCACATGACAATAAGACTCCATACAAATGTAGGGTCCACAGCAGCCGGTTTGTTCTTTCACTTTGTTTTTTGGTTCTACGTCCTGTGCGTCTGTTCCTCTGTCTGGCTTTGCGTCTGCGTGCTGTGGCTGTGGCGGCTTCTGCATTGCATGTGGCAAGTTCGTTGATATAAAATATGTATGTATTTATTTATGTACGTATTAATTTACTTATAACATAGCCATGCTCATGCTCATGTGGGTCTACATATGTTGCCCCCCACTTCCGCTGCCAGCATGTATGAATATTGCTGCGAATGATGTTGTTGCTGCTCTTATAGTTCATTTTATGCCCAATATGCTCATTCATGCATATTCTTAATTCTTGATTATTGCATTTACTGTGCCCACGTCAGACTATCAGTCCTATATTTTTATTAAGTTTCGCAGCTCTCTTGCAGCTGTCATTGAAGCGATGGCCTGCATTGTGGCATAGACACAGTTCCTGCAACATTGTGTGCTACATGCCATGTTGGAAAGTGGAGTGTAGTGTAACATGGCATTGAGTACTTTTTTGAGTGTTTTTGAAATATATTTTGTGGAATTTTTCAGGGTGCATTTATGGGTATTACTAGCTTCCATAATCGTTTGGAACCACAAAACAAAAGTAGAAGCTACTATAACTTAAAAAATGGTAAACCCACCCTCGGAAACTTACAAAATTATAAAATTAATATATTATAGCTATTTACTTTCAATATTCCATTCGCTACTATATTCCATATAGGCAACGGAGCTCGAGGTTACTATGGGAACGCATTCAATTTCAGACATTCTACCTTAGAAAAATTCAAACAAGAATAAACCGGAATTTAGATAAATCCAAAAATATGAATGATATTCATACAAGTTTCCTCATGACGACCAAAAAATTCTGTTTCAAATAATTAAATATTATTCAATTGAGAATTTCAAAAAAAAAATATATACATTTTTGTTTGCTTATAGATTGTTTGTATCGAATAGACATATATTTTAAAATTTTCTCCGAAAAATTGAAATAGGAAAATTTTAAAGAAGTGTAAATTTTTCACAAAAAACTGCTTTTTTGGGAAGCCGCCAATAAGTCAAAAATCAATCATTTGACTAGTCCTTCGATTATTACCTGTAATCATCTAGTGCAATAAGAAACCCTTTTGGTTTTTGGATTTGAAATAATTTTAAGCAGAAAAATTTTCTTCACCGTCAAACACTTCCTTTTGGAAGACCTCTTGAAGAACGGTTATGGCTACAAGGATATCCAAAATTTTTCAAAATGTTAATAAAGTACATAAAATTCTGAAAATGTACACTATTTTTATTTTTTTATTATAAAAAAGCGTTTCTTCCAAAAAGTTTCACAAAAAAAACGCGTTTTTTTCTGACTTGCAAGTGGATATAATCCCTTACACAAACACTCTATTAAAAATTCTCAAATCATTACTGATGAATATTATTTGTAGGTTTTAAAACTTATTGGTTATTTATTTAAATTGCTTTTTACACCTATATTATATTCTATTACAGAGTAACTTACATCACTTTTATGATCATCTACATATGGAATTACATTACATTAACTCAGGTTCAAACCCGGAAATGATGAATGCTAAAATAATTTACTATAGGCTACAAAAACACTATTCAAACTGATTTCTGGATATTTTGGATCTAACAATTAAAAATTGGCTTCCGAAATCGTGAAAACCATTTGACTACAGAATAACTTCAGTAATTGCAGTTGAACAATATTATAAATACATATGTAAGTCCTCGACAACCCGGCAAGTCGCAACTACCCGAAACTCCAATATATTTAAAAATCTTTTAAGGAAACTAGTACATATTTTATCTACTTTAGAACTAAAGAAACTCAAAGAAATGTGAATAGAAATCTCTAGTAGGTCAAAAATATTGATAGAAAACGCTAGTAGGCAGTGTTTCATAAGTTGCAACGTGTGTACTTGTATGTATTAGCCTCCCCATTAGATACAGCAATCTCTTAAAAGGCCTCAAATTATGCATGCGCTTAGCTGTCAACCACCAGCAGGCGTATTATCCTTTGCTCTTAAAAGGCATATGTGCGCCGCAACACGTCGACACGTGAGCATAAACCCACAAACAATGCTGAGTAATGGATAGATGTATATCGGATATGATCACACGTGGTCATGCATGCCGTAAAATGAGTCGAGTGGCTGGATTGCATCGGCGCCGTTGAGTGATGTGTGCGTGTTACGTGGCATGCAACGCTCAGCATTTCAACGAATGCAACTACAAGAGACACCGCTAGTTTAAAAAGTCGAAGTGAAAGGCACAGCAACAACAAAGCAATAATAAAGAGGCGAACATCGGCGTTTGCAACAACAAAAAATAAATTGAAAATGAAAAATGGAAAACAAAAGAAAATATACAATAATAAGGCGGTAGTAAGTCAGAGGAAAAACGAATAAGCACATGCAAGTGGAGGCAAAACCAAAACACAAATACATAACTTTTGACTTTACATACCGCACATGCGAGTATGTACACACGCATGCGCATGTCTACATCGATAAAATGTGTGGACGTTAAAGTGACTTCAACTTTGACATAACAGTAATTTAAAATCTGCCTTCGAGCATACCCAATATTTTGTATTTTATTTGGTGTGTGACTCCGGATTAAGAAATACAAAACAAAAACAAGGAGATATCAGCAGCACTAGCGAACCGAATTGAAAAACGATAAATATGTCAGCGAGAACACGAAAAGGAAACGAAAAAATATTGTTAGCAATTTTAGTCGAGTCTAATAAAGGCAATCGGCTTTCTTTCTCTACAGCAGTGAGCTTCGTTTATGTTCATGCAAGTTGACAATAACAGGAATGTAAACGATTTAAATTGTAAATCGGCGAGCAAAGTCGTAAATCAAATATTTCAAAAGCTAACCACCAGCAACTAATGATTTTAATGGCAATTGCGTATCATAATCAATCTTTTTTCATATTAAAGACATATGTACATTTGAGAATATTCTCCTAAAAATTTTAAAGTGATACGGCAAAATAGTTTCAGAGATATAGCGTATAGTGTAAAATTTTGTTAACTTAGCTTAATGGACTCCCAAAAACTTAAAACGCGTTTTTCTCAAAACGCTAGTTTCGGAGTCGGTGAAACGGATGGACCGATCCACGACGTTTTTACACATATTTGTCAGGTAAGTTTCGATTTTTTAAGCCAAACTGAAATATTGTTTTTTTTTACAAAAAACTACTTTTTTTGGAAAGGCGCCATTTGCTCCATAATCAAATTTTTACTAGTGCTTCGATTATTAACTGCATTCATCTATAGTAATAACATTTTTTGTTTTTGGATTTGAGATCATTTTAATCAGAAAAATCTTTCTCGCCGCCAGACATCTTTTTTTAGTGGTGCATTGGAAATCGCCTATGGGAACAAGGGAAACCAGAATTTTTCAAAACTCTTAAAATATTCTCAAATATATTTACACTCGATATTACTGCAAAAAAATCGATTTTTTGGAATTCGCTAGATGACATAACCCCTTAATATAATAATTTGAAAAAATATTTTCATATTTATGTAAGAAAAATGTGTGTAATTTATTTAATATATTTATTATTTTAATATTGCTATATTATCTGTTTTATATTATATTAAATTATGTTACGTTACGTTAAGTTTTGTTATATTAAGTTATGTTACGTTACGTTAAGTTTTGTTATATTTAGTTGTGTTACGTTACGTTAAGTTGTTATATTTAGCTGTGTTACGTTACGTTAAGTTACGTTAAGTTATGTTATGTTAGGATATGTTTTGTTATTTTATACTATTATATTTGATACAATTTAATCTAATTTTTCAGTGTCTTTTTTTTATTTTTTGTTATTTTTTACTTTTGTGTATTAAATTTTAATTTTTAAATTTAATGCATGCTCATGTTTTATTTAGCCTTCTGCTAGGGAGCATTATTATTATAAACTTGAGTTTATATGTTGGACATATTTTAATAGTACTAAATATTTACTAGTATCTAATAATTTAAATATATATTTTTTTATTTATTTAAAATTTTGCTATGCTAAGTTATGTTAAGTAATATTATGTTATATAATGATTTCCTATTCTGTTTAATTAAATTTTAATTTTCTTCATTTAGTAGTGCTATTTTAAATTATGATTTATTCCATATTGTGTGTATTTTTTTCTATTAAAAGAACTTTTAGAAAAATCAGCCTTAGTTTTACTATTAACGACCTCTGAGCTTCTAACTGCTTAAAAAATAAGTCATTTAATTTTATTATATTTCACTTTAATTCTTGGCCTTCCAAAATGTTTAATGTTTTATTTTATTTTAATTGCAGTTTACTTTATTTTAAATTATTTTAGCTCATTCTGGAGCGCCTCCAGTGAACACTCACTCATTGAGCGAGTGACTGGTGAGCAACTTTGTATGCTCAATTACAGCGCTGAGCGTAGTTGGCCGCCGAAGAGCGACTTAGAACATTAGTTTGGGGTATATATTCCTATAGTTCTAAATCCCGTCGTACTAAAACTACCAAAGAATGACAGATGTTATGCTTACTTGTATGTATTTAGTATATGTATGGGCAATAATTGCTCACGTGTATGTGAGCATGTGCGCCTGTATGTATGTAACTCAGCTGATTGCACCCTCCACTATTTGACAGTGACGGCCATTGAGCGGCTTCTAGCGCTGTAATATGGTTGTTTGGCATTTTTGAGCGGTTTCAAGCGTATGCATACGTGCACTAACACACTCACACGCACATACACACACGCATGCATACGGGCATACAAATGTACCCCTATAAGAGACAATGTTGACCAAATGTTGTACGTACCAACATATTTATAGCAGACAGACTGTGCTCAACTAAATCCAAAACAGAAAATTACACAAACAACAACACCAGCACTAAAGTATTTGTAAGTATGAATTTTCGAGTTTTACGTTTCAACTGCTTTTCGTCTCTTTCTTTATATATGTGTGTGTTTGTGTGTGGACGCGGTGTGCATATGTATGTATGGATTTGTTGTTCTCAGCGCTATTGCCATGCATGTTTTTGTTGTTATTGCTGTTGTGGTTTTTGTTGTTGTTGTACATTTTTATACGTTTTGTGTTGTTTCTCGTCTCGTTTCAAGCTTCTTCAACATCAGCCACTGTACAAGCAAATTAGTGTAGTATTTGTGTTGCACAGTACTCAGAGCTACCCAGCACAAGACGGCGCGTGAATACACACAGTGTTGAGCCAGCGTATGAAACAACAAGCCCACCGCAGCAGTCGTTAGGCTAGCCAGCGAGACTCTAGCACGATTACGAGATATTTATACAAAATAATAGTAATAATAATAATTATATTCATTATATTTTCATAAATTTTTAAGCAACGAATTTTACAACAACAATAAATGGTGTTTAGTGAACAATAGAAAGTTTGCGGTTAAAAAAAAAACTTGTGCGTTTCAAGGCGTAAAATGTGGCCATGGATGTTTTTTTGATATCAATCACAGCGATCAAGTGAAGAAAAAAATAGAAATCCATAATTTTACGATCCTCACGATTAGCGGTCATAAAGTGTCAGAAGCTGCGATTTGTTTGTGAACGAACGGAAAGTGGCGCGCTACGTAATCCTTATCAGCCGACAACTTTACCAACAACATACAAACATACAACATAGACATTAGTGCGTGTGTTGGAACAACAAACACACGAGCAGACAGTAGAAAAGGTGTGCGCGCTAAGCTTCGTATAAACAACAATAATAAATAATATTGTTTATGCAAGGATTTACTGCTGCAGCGATAAAAGGTTTAAACACATCTTAGGCGCCAATCAAGCGTGGACAGCAGCCATAAGTTGTGTAAGTATAAACAAGCATGCCGACATTTGACAAGCACTGTATTATTTATTGCAAGTACTCATAAGGTAAATAATTGCATCATGATTCATAGCTATTTTATATTTCAGTTAATTATTGATTGTAAAATAGCAACCATCCTTAATTTGCACGATCGTCATATTTTCTCACCACACAACTTTGTAATAATTAATTTATACAACGACAGACAATCAGTTGTACTCACTTTGTAGATTTATTCACTGACTTCTAGCACTGACAACACTAATTAAATTACATTCAAGTTGCGGTCATTATTATTGCATAGCCAGTTCGCCGCTAAACTAGTCAATCAAGTTAGAAAAAATTTAAAACTATCAAAACCACACGCAATTAACTGCATATTCGCGCCAAATAATTTGCCATTCACTAAAAAATTTTATACTATAACGAATGGTAGCAGAAATTAGAATGTCATCATATATAAACAGTTATACAATTGTACAATATGTATGTAAATGTATTCAAACAATTGAACTATTTTGACTGAGCTCTCAAGTTTTGTTTTTAACTAGAATTTATATCGAAACTGATTTCCCATCAAAACAAGAAAAAGTTTTGACTTCGGCTGCACCGACAATACAATACCCTTCACAAATGCATTTTTATAGCAACTGTATGTATAACTAAATCGCAAAACGTAACCGGCAAACGGTCTGCATACAACGGAAAACGTTTTGCTAGTTCTTTCTAGCCACGCGATTTGATATAAACAAGCTTCAGTCGAATTAAGGTCACTTAATACGGAAAAATATCTTTTATGAAGATCCCTATCTTAATTTTGATCGATCAGTTTGTATGGCAGCTATATACTATAGTTGACCGATTTGAACAATTACCTCGGAGATGGCACCCTTGCCATGAAAAATAATCCTCGCCAAATTTTATGAAGACATCTTGTCAAATAAAAAGTTTTCCATACAAGAACTTTTTTTGGAACGGTCAGTTTGTTGGGCAGCTATAAGGAAGAAAATATCGTGTGCAATATTTTAGACCGATATCTCAAAAACTTAGGGTCCAATTCCAATATGTACAGATGGACTCGGCTGAATCAACTCAGCTCGCCAGCTGATCATTTATATATATATATAAACTTTATGATGTCTCTGACGTTTCCTTCTGGGTGTTGTAAACTACATGACAGACTTAATATACCCTGTTCAGTGTATAAATATAACTGTTGTGTGATCTATATAAACTATTTAACTACATTTTATTGCATGTCGTGCTAACTTACGATGTTCTACACGATCTATAAAAACTATGGAAGCATTGTGCCAAATAGTGACGGATTTTGTTTCTTCTCATATAGGTGAATACTATCATTCATTCACATCCATCATTTAGCCGGCTTTCGATATAACTATAGCAAAATCTTCCACAATAACGTCGGTAACGATTGTAAGTAGTCGGCTGTGTTTTGGTTTTAAAGATATTTTCAGCTAACCGGTGAAATATTTATACCTATACGTCGTGCTGATAGTAGTTTCCCGGTTCAGGAGTAATTAATACAAAAGTCAATGATATGTTATACATATATCTAAAACAATCGTCTAACATTTAGGCTATTCAAAACAGTCTAGTTTTTAGAAACTATGGAGTTTCAGAGAAAATGTAATTTATGTAGGGTCACGACCTATCAGTTCTCTATTATTTGTATATTGACCTTCTACCGAGGACATATAGTATATGTATTTCGTTAAAATAAATTCAAATTTCGTTAGTTTAAAATTTTGAATTTTGAACCTCTCAAATTTTGAATCTCTCAAATGTCAACTTTTGAGTTCTACTAAGGAATCAAGTCATGCAGCATCCATTTGACATTATAATGCAAATTAACAAAACATTAGGAAACCCATAAAATTTTATAAATTAAAGTTCTCGACTCAATGTTGGTCTAAACCAAACTTGACATAACCTAAATTAAATCATCTTCTACTCAGCGACAGACTTCTAATGATATCGATTCCCAGGAACCTCACTCACACTTGATGCAACAATTTTTTATGATTTCGAAAAAATATTTAGTTCAATATATATTTTCGCTAAAGGAATAGATTAGTCGTTAGTAAGCACTAATCGCTGTCAATAATAAACAAGCTTAGCGTTTGTTTCTTCGAAATATGAATCTTTAGAATATATATTATATATATCTAATATAATATATAGTTTACATTAATGGTAATATTGATCATTATTTTTATTCTTATTTCCATTAAGCTTTCTATACAAAAAGTTAAACATTTTAAAGAATATTCCAAATGGGATACTTGGAATATTTGCTGATATTTCGAGCCAACTGGTATTGAGTTTCAAACCACTCAGTCTTTGCAGTGTTTTAAAATTGCAAACTAATTGCTTTGGCATATTTTCATATTTTAATTATTAATATTGTTGCTTACCAAAGCATAAACACATGTGGTTACATGTACACATGTACATATGTATGGGTAAGTAACTTGCAAAGTACATAATAAAACTTCCAGTGACTTGATAAGCTATCGCTTGTGGCGGCAAATTGCAATCGTTTCGGAAATTGTAGTTAAGTTAGTGAATGTAGACATAATTACGGAAATATAAACGCAGTTTTTGCAAACATTTTGAAATAAATTAAAATATAAGCACACCATGCTTTTAAGATTTCTCAAAATTTAAATTTATTTCTCGAAGTAAAATAGTTTTAAAGCAGTTGAGAGATCTGGTACTGATCCGCAGTATTATGATCGTGAAACATCAATAAGATTCTTTTTAAATTTTAAACGGTGCATCACATCTTGCGAATCACGTTATCCTAATCAAAGATAAAATACATCTCAAAAACATCTTTCTTCAGTAATACGGGTTCCAAGCAATCAGCTTACAAGTGAGCAAGTCATTTTCTACAACAAAAAACCACAATATAAACAATTCAAATGGCACGATTTAAAAGAAAATTTTAGTTACAAAAATACAACAGAAGAGAAGTAATTTTAGTTTTGTAGAGAGTGTAAGCTATTCTGCGTTTGGCTTTGGGTTTATTAACTGGACCTCCTATGCTTCAAATTAAGCACTTACAAATTCTAGATTTCTTAAATAAAGATGGAATTAGAAAAGATTAAACCGATTAAATGTACAGTTGTGAGCGTAATTTTAGAGAGACGTCATTATAGAAATTCCCTCTGAAGGAACCAAGAAGAAAATGCATATGGTAACCTTGTTAATAAAAACGAAAAGTGGGGTTAGTTTCATGATGAAACAGTCATATGGAGAAAACACATGACAAAATTTACGTAAAAAGTTGATATTTGGATTGAGGCGAGTTTAACCTATGTATTCTCGATAAAGGCATCAAAGACATTCACAAGGATATTTTTGGATTGAGAAGAAATAAATATTGAGGACTTTATGGGTTGTAATATGCCTCCTAATGATTCAAGGATTGCAATAAAAAAAACAAGCTTTTTTCAGACATGAATAGAGTAAGAAGTTTATAGAGCGTAGATCTTTTACATATATAAATTTTTAATATATTTATGCATCAAAGTTAAAATTTTAACTCAGAAAATTCAACTTCATTGTGATATTATACATATACATATATTGAATTAATTACTTAAAAAAAAAATTATTCGTATATACCATAAACAGTTATTATTCACTTACCCCTCAACCGTATAATCAATCTCGCACCTGAAATAAAAGCAAAATTTGTGTTTTTTAATTATACAATTAGACATATCAAATAACCACTTAAACTAGTAAATTTAAATTTATAAAAATGAAAAATATGCTTAAGTTCTTCTTCCACTAAAAAGCCAAAATATTAAATTACCAAACAAAAAGTTAGAAAAAAGCACAAAAAACAGTCACGAAAGCAGTGCCACAACGAATATGTTAAGTTACTACATTGGAACGAGCGTATCAACAAAAACACCAAATTCCAAACGATAACACAACAACAAGAAAAAAACAACCGCAACATGTCTGCAGGGTATAGTATAACAAGAGCAGCTGCTGCCGGTCTCTATGGTTGCTGCTGTGCTCATTGTTGTTGCTAACTCCAACATACCATAGTTTACCAACAATACTATTAATGTTATTGTTGTTGTTATTAGTTGGTGTACCCCTTTTGCGGCTGTCCAGCCAACTTTAAATGCTACCTTTTCAATTCATTTCCTCTACATAGTTTTTTGGTATACTGTGTGTTTTTTCTCTTTTTTGTGCTTTTATTGTGGATTTTTGTTGCTGGCTACCTTTCGCCTTGCCGCTCTGCATATTGGAATACCAACATTTGTGGTCAATTATACTAGAAAGAATTCATGCTGCAGCTACAAAAGCCAATAACAACAACATCAGCCTTAAATGGCCAGACAATAAAAATGAGAAATGAGTGCAGTCTCAGCAGCAGAGATGAAATGACCGAAAATGTGCGCAACAACAATTTGAATACTTGTTTTTTTTCGGTAGACGTGCAATGCATTTCCGTTTCGTTTCCAAACGTTCGCAGACTTAAACGTAAGAGAATGTGACAGACCTGGTGTTTTGTGTTCTTTGTTGACAGAGATAGGAGTCTATTGCAGGATAAAATATTTTGGATATTTCTGTAAAAATGTAAAGAACAAGAGAAACGTTAACTTTGGGTGTAACGAAATTATAATACCCTTCAGGGTACATTTCTTATAGCTAAAAAGGGTATAAAAGAATTATTTATATTGATTTTGATTGGCCAGTTTGAATGGCAGTTTTATGTTCGCAAATTGTAGCGTTGCCTTAAGCAATAATCTGTGCTAAGTTTTAAGAAGATATATCATCAAATAAAAAAGTTTTTCATACAAGGACTCGATTTTGATCGTTCAGTTTGTATGACAGCTATATGCTATAGTGGTCCGATATCGGCGATTCCGACATATGAGCAGTTTTCTTAGGGATAAAAGGACGTTTGCAAAATTTCAGATTGATATCTCTAAAACTGAGGGACTAGTTCC